ACTATTAATTAGTCTTGCTTACTTAATACATGTTCATTAGTTTGTTTACATAGTCACACCCCCATTGGAAGTTCTTCTTTGGTCTTTATGCGTCTTCTTCGTCATCCTGACCTCAGTTCTTGAGCAGGTACAGCAGGTACAGCTTCACTGTGTTCCACCACCAAAAACTGTATTACTTGTTCTTTATTTGATCTTGTTTGGGTACACAGATCTTAGTTTACACCTTCACTGCTTGAGTACATCCTCATTGAATTCTCTAGGGCTTCTCTAAGGTCCTACTGGCCCTTATTTGGGCATTCTGGGATACTTTGAGAAAAGGTTCTATTTCTTCTACCAAATCTCCCCTTTTTCTTGGGACTAAATTCCTTAAAGGAACTAGTCTCTCAATGTATGTATTTTCTTTTATACTATAAGGCACTGCAATGACTACAACACTGAATCATAATGCAAGCTAAAATACAAATGTCATTTACTGTGATTCGAACTGTGAAGAGCTGCTTTCACCACTTAAAATTAGGTAACCAGAAGGTCAGGATATTCCAGATTTCTTGAAAGCCTGAAGAGGTGTCATCCTCACCTACCTGATATAAAATTTCAGTTTGTTTCTGAATTTCCTGGACATCTGTAGGCACTCTATTGCTCTGGTCAATGCATACACAAGAGCTGGTGCTAATGACAGTGCATACTCCTCCTTGTGATTCTAAAAGAGGGTCTAATGCCATTTGGTTCTGTAAAACAACTTGTGACAAGCTATTAACTTCTTCCTCTAAAGTAATAATGTCATGCATTGCATGATTTTCTATACATTCTATGGTAGAAGCCATGGCTACCACAGACAGAACCTTTCAGCTCCACAGTGCTCGTGTGTGTCACAAGGCATCCTACACATCAGCAACCTAACTCTGCTGCTTCAGGGCACATGAGAGGACAATTTCATCTGTCCCCAGTCACTTTGGTTGCAAGCAGAATCCTAATATCAAAGACTATGTTCGAGAAATGGAGATGCTGCCTTGGCTGCACAGTGAAATGAGATGCATTCAGAAAAATTCATTCCACAACTACTCGGCTGACTGGGAATCCTGGCAGCGCATCCTCATCGAGAGGAGAGACGCGGCTTCTCATGACACCTTGTGGCAGTGTGACAATCTGCTTTTGCTTTCACAAAAACTAATTTAAGATGTTGCAAACCAGCGATATTACGGAAAACCAAACACACAACAAAAAGTTCCAATTTACAATCAATTAAGCTGAACAGAGCAAAAGCACTTTTTAAAGTCAGGAAAATTATCCATAAAAATAAAGATACAAAGTATAAAATAATAAGACTGTTATTTTTAGGTAATAAAGTCAGAAAATTGAAACAAATTCAATTTGAAGCATTTCAAACTGCATGTAAACTACAGACGTACAAGTATAATAACACAAGTGTGCATTATTAACACTTAACATATTCTTACCTATTCTAACTAGAAAATCAGAATTTCCTTTCCACACTGCAACTTGCAGGGAGAGATTGGCACAGGACAGAAAAGCTTCATTGTCCAGAAACGTAATTACAAGTTGACTCAGTTAGGCCAACTTATCTTGATATTTCTGTTGCATATAACTGGAGAAATAGCAAAATGGCAAATTTTATTTCCCATTTGCTTTCAAACTATGTTTAGAGAAAAAATGTCTTTAATTATACCTGAAAAAACCCACAAATTATGGTTCAGTACTGTCCTACTTGGAGCACATCAGTCCCAGAAGAAACAATAACCCACCCTGAAAAAGAAATCAGGGAGAGAAGTCACCACAGACATTGCATATTGCAATATTCAGTGTACAAGGTAGCTTAACTGTTCCTGAACAGAGATGGGCTGCAAACCCGCAAATCCTGATCTCTAGCTGCCCCCATTCTGAGAAATAGGTTAGAGATGAAAATCAGGTTTTTTTCCAAACTCACCAAGTGCTCAGTGCTGCAAAGAAGAGTTTGGTTTCCTATTTATCTGGGGCTTTTTGTTTAGTGGTATTTTTGGTTTTGGGGTTTTTTTTGGTAAAGAACACAAAGTGATACTCAAATAGCCTTCAGGTAGAAGCTAAAATAATCTTGGAGAATATTAGCCCCCTAAAGTGAAGGATATCTTTGTCTCAGAAAGTAGGTTGGGAGGCAGTGGCAGGAAGATGATTCTCATAAACTGTGGAACCCTAACACAAGAGCTCATCTCTCCTCCTTTCAGAAAGTAGTTTCTCAAGGTCAGCAAACTTTCTTCTCATGCAACTGTCTTCTACTGACAGGGGTATAATATACTGTCTACCTTTGTGGTGTAGACATTGGATGAAGTTATAGTCCTAACTTACAAATACTGTAATTTTGTGGGTTCTTCAGACCTAGATAACTTTCCCAGAAAGTAGAGTGAAACATAGAAGACTCTGCTCAATCCTGATCCACAACATGCTATAGAAGAAAAACGTAAATGTGAAGTGTTATGAAAGTAAGACTTGCTGAAGACTCCTCTGGGCCAAGCTTAAGAGTAATTTATAAGTATGCAGTTGATAATTAAATACTTTTGTGATCTATTTTTCTCTCAAATTCTCTTTTTCAAAATTGATAGTTAAGTCTATAATGGAACACTCTACTGGGAACTCCAGCTGCCTGCAGTGCAGTCCTAGCTCTTTGTGTATGTATTCCCTATGGGCTGTGCAGGCCTCTGGAATAGAAATCATCATGACTAATTTGCTTAACTTAAACTTCCAGAGTGTCCCTTGTGCAGTGATGATGGCTGTGTCTGGAAGTGGAGGAGGGTAAGCTCTCTTAAGTCCCATAGTTCAATCAGCTAAGGTCTGAAAATGAGCCTTGTAGGAGCTTTATGCTGGAAGCCTTTATGTCAGCATACAAATCATAAAGTAATTCTTAAAAAATTGGGTAGATAACCCCAGAAAGAAACTGTCCCTTCCCTTAATTATGGCTTCTCATCCAGTCTGAACAGAGCACATGTCTTTGAGAAGGGAGCAAGGTCTGCTCTGTGTTCACACCATCACTGAAACCTTGGGACACAAACACAGCCACCTGGAATAACCTTCCTCTGCCTACATGGGAGAGGGAAAGAGATGAAGCAGTGATGGACATAACATCTGATCTTAGATAAGGGCAGAGAGACCTCCTTCCCCAAGTCATGAGAAACTTACACCATCTAGTTATCCCAAAAAGGAGAGAGATGAGTTGTGTGCATTACAGAGCAGCTCTGAGTATATCCAAGCCCCCGTGCAAGAGCTTGTTTAGACAGGAGCAGGCATCAGACATATGAAAGCAGACAATTAATTAATCAGGCCATTACTTCCCAAACAGAGTGTTTTGAAGTCCAGGACACTTCCCTCTACAGTCTTCACTGATTCTTTGGTACTCCCTCTGCAGTGACACTAGGCCCTATCCTTACCTGAAAGGGCCAAATACACTGAGCGAGGAGCAGAAATCCCAGAGACTGTACAGAAAAATGCCCACCCTAATTCATCTTCACTTACAAGCTCTAGCATAAGGTACAATTTGTGCTTTAGAGAAACTCAAATGGACAGCAGTTTAGGAGCTGTGGACTGCATTCCTTTGAGTAGGATTGTCTTTTATCTAGAGATGAAACTATGTACAAACCATGTCGATTTTAGTAGTTTTTTATCAATTTTCACCTTCACAAGAAGCCTAATCTGACAACATATTGAAGACGAGGTGTTAGATATTGGCTAAAATTTTTTTTCAGAATTATCTGTGTAGAAAGGACGATTAACACCAACGGTGGTTGTGCTGGTACCAACCTGAGCAGGAACTTGCCAGCTGCACAGGACAGTAAGTAACCTGACTAACATATAGACCACCTTGGAACAAGCCTGCAGTGACACTCTGGTAACGGGGATTATTTTGTCAGTCATTGAAAACAAAGGGTTTTAATGCTCCAACTTTTACTCTACTGATTTTACCCTATAACACCAAAACTCAAATGGTGTGAATATAAACCTTATTTGCAGCTATTGCTGCCTAAGAGAGGCACATAAATCACCCCACCGTGAGCCTGCACCAGTTTGAGGGGAGGACTGAAGCTCCTGCTGCCTTAATTTCTAACAGCCTCCATTCCATCTAGGCATGTCTAAGCTTCCACTTATATTCTTAGCTGTTGCTTTTCTTTATGGACACAATTCCATAAAACTAGCTAATTATGACAAATAAGTACTTAGTAAAAAGCTAACACAGAGTTTGAATTTCCATAAAAGTCTATGTAATGAACTAGCCTGTCGAAAAATCATAGGAGATCCTGTCCCTCCAAGAAAACCTAACCCCAGTGCACCAGTGTGTAGGGAAGCTGAAGAAGCCCCCCGTCAAGTTCTAAAGATATGATTAAGTTTCTTTTGTAAAGCTCTAACTTCATCAGAGGCAGATCCGATTTCAGTCAGGGAAGGCAAAAATCAAACCCTGTTCAATCAGTTTCCCCTATATGTGTTTTTGAGTGTCTAAGAGTTCACATGACACATCATGTGCTTTTAAATCCCATTTTGATTGAAATCTCTCAAAACAGAAAACCTCACTTTAAAAAAGAATCTTTCCATAGACACTGCACATATGCAGCAAACGACAGTGACTGCTGTGAAGGAAAATCTTCCTACCACTTCCATTTCATATGGGAATGACTGTCCTGCGGCACTTACAATAAAAAATAATTTTAAATATCATTTTCATACGAAAGTACACCTTGAAAATTACTTGTTACACACTAAAGACTTTCACATTCACTTCAATATCAGCAAATAATTTAATTTCTATTCTATAATCCAAAAAAATCCAAACCAGAATGAAGAACATTAACCAAACATCTTTCAGCATCCAAGTAAGAAGTGAACAAGACCGAAAATCCAGTCAAGGGAAGGAATATTCATTCTCTCCATCTTAAAAGACTAGAACAAAGGATAAAGGCACAAGTCTGAATACAGCTCCTTTCTCTCAGTGATTCTGTTACAAGAAAAAAAATAACAAACCATTTTAATGTTACAGCTTTATTTGATAATAAGTGACTTCTGAGTTTTTGGTAACACATTTTTTATACAAAATTGATACAATGAAAAATAAACATCAGCAGGGTCTGAGCAGATTACAGGCTGTAAACTCATCATCAAATGTACCAGACTGGAAAAGGCAACCGTGTTCCAACTCCTGTTTGCAAACCAGCACCAAGCAATCCCAAAAATTTAGTTTTACTCTACCTGCCAAAAAACTTCAAAGCCCAGCCAAATCCACACTTCCTAAGTAAGCAGTTGTTCTATCTCACTGTATTTCCAATTTACAGCTGTGACTAACTGTACACAAGAAACACGTTGAGATTTCCAACAGTATCTTCAGTGAGTAAATATCAACTTTTACATAAACCGGTACTTTGAAGGTTTCTAAGGAGTTATGGACAAGGTATTTGGATTAATTTTATGAACTGCCATTTCCAAGGAACTCAGAAGTCCATAAAAAATTACAAAGCTCTGTAACAGTTCCTTTTAAGCTATTTCATTTCAGAGGGTCAATTTCACAGGTATTGGGTACACAATTATTCCTATGTCTGGAGTACATCAAAATCCCATCATATAAACCAGCAATATGAATATGGGGGAAAGAGAAAAAAACAAACCAAACCAATCTTTGCAATCCTTTTACCATTCTTAGTAGAAAGTAAGGCTCAGTAGAAAGGAGAGACTCAGTAGTAAGGCTCCTCCCTAAGCGCATTTCTGTTTTCACCTTTGTCTGAAATCAAGTTTCTCAAAATGCATTTGGGGAACAAATTTTCTTGTTACACACACAGTTCCTCTAACATCCTATTTTTGGGAGTAACTCTACAGCTTGGCTTCATGCTACCCTTGTAGGCACCTGAAACTTAATAGAAGACCGCAGGGTCTGTGTCCTGCTAGGCTGCTTCTCACTTCATGATTCCTGGGGTCAGCAATCTGATTGTTTTATTATGGCTGTGTAAGTGTTCTAGTAACAGCATCAGTGAAAAAGGATACTAACCCCGTAACCCCAGAAAATTTGCGGCTTTAAGTCTTCCCCAGAAATTGGAAAACTTCCCTAGAAATTCCACTTCCTTTATCATCTCTGAAACACCCACCAATCATCTTTATCACTGCTCCCCACCTTGTGATACCAATGTAAACAAAATGCAGTGGCAGAATAATCAAGTTTGCCAGTGAAAAAAAAGCACCATTATATTAAATCCTTGTTCCTTCTAGTAAGTTACAGCAGCATTTAGAGACTGAAGTCTCAGACATTCTATTGCTTAAAACCTTGTTTCCAGGTCCTCTGCAACGCTTTGGATCCTGGCATTAAAACAGAAAAGGTCTTGAACACAGGATGTGCTCACAGAAATAACGGAGAGGAGTTCCTGTGAATTTCTAGAGACATAAATTTGTGTGCAACAGACCTATTTGGTGTCTGGTGACATTTACAGTGCAGATTTGGTTCTCCTGTGAGACTGATGAGTCACTGACACTGAACAATTTTGCCATAGCCACCTCTTCCAGCATCATAGTCCTGCCGATATTCATCTCGGACCTTACAAAAGAGGGAAAAAGGGGAGTCCAGGAAAGACAAAGAAAAACAATTTCTCAAAAATTCTTACATCATCAGAATATAGTCACAGTGAACTCACAACATATAAGTGGCCATACAGAGCTAACTGACAAAAATGAAGGCGAAGTGAATCATGCAGAAGCCCAGAACAACATAAACATAAACAACTTCCTTTTCAACAGCATCCCAGGGACTCCTCAATCGAGGCAGGCCAAGCAAGGATGGTCAGCCTCATGCTCCAGCAGTAAAAGCCACTGCCACCTTCTCCACTTTGGGTAGAACAACTGCTGTCCTGTGTGCTCTTGACAGCCTTATATTTTCAGGGCTTACTTATAAGCATTATCTCCTCAAGCAGCCAAGAGTTGTTTCTGCAAGAACTTTTAGTGAAATACACGAAAAAGTTATCTGCTCTTAGTAGGTAACAGCGCCGTGGATCAGATGTCTTACAGACTAAGGCACGGTGTTATCGTAAACAGTGACTCCTAAGTTGTTGTCTCTGAAATTGTTCTGAGTGTGTTCATTCAAAACCAAGAAATTTGGCAAAGTCGCCTTAAAGCCCAGGCTGAACAACAACCTACCTGCCCTCCTGATCTTCCACGGCCGTACTGCCTACCCTCCTTAAATCCTGCATCCCAGTCTGTCCTTATGATCCTGTCATCAAGTCTGGTTCCGTTGATGTATCGCATTGCATTTTCAGCATCTCCTCTTGCATAATACCTTAGGAATAGGTTAAGGGAAAAAAATGGACTTCTGTTTTCAACACATGGAAAAAACCTAATATCAAATGGGCTACAAAACCAAGCCTTTGCTTGAAACAGGTTCCTGCTCAGTTACTTTCAAAAGGAAAAGCTTTTATGAAGCTACGTGAGCTGAGAAAACTGTTAGTGAAAGTGAGCAATGTGCAAGAATTCAAGCACTAAAAATGCATGTACTGGTTTAAGTTTGCCAACCACGCTCACCCTCAAAAGCACAAAGCTCTATTGCTAAAGAATGAGAAGCCCCAGGGAGGCCCCATCATGCTGCAACATTCCACCATTCTGGCGAGCTCACTGGAACCAGTTACAGAATGATCTTCAGAGACTCACATGTCAGAGACGACACAACAGGGATGTCAAATACCAGCAGAAACTTAATACTTAGCTTGTACAAAAAGAAACACCTTTTTACATGAAATGGAAAATATGAATTTACCGTAGAGGTCAAATACCTAAAAAGCATCTGGGTTAAAGTGTCACAGCGAAAGCAATCTGTTACCCCTGCTCGACATGCCGTTTGTGTTCCATTCACAGAATCACGGTTGGAAAAGACCCGTAAGACCATCGAGTCCAATCGCGAACCCAGCAGAGCCCTCTCACATCTGCGTCCCCCACAGACGTTTTAGCAAACGATTACTTTTATCCTGGGAAAACTGCCGTGACCCAGAGCCAGCAGCATAGAGCAGTTCACCCGCGGCCTGACGGCTCCTGCCGGCCCGCAAAAGGATACTCCACGAAGCAGAAGCCGCAGGCGGTTTTCTTCACTTTGTCCAGCCCCATGATGACCTTCTTGATGTCGCCGCTCTTGCCGAAGAGCTCGTGGATCTGCTCCTCGGTGGTATAGAAGGACAGGTTCCCCACGTACAGCGTGCAGCTCTTCCTCAGCAGCCGCTCCTGGTCGTGGCGCGTCCCCTGGGCCGCAAGGACACCGCGTTACCCCGCGGCACAGCCCGGCCCGGGCGGGACGGACCGCGCGGCGCCCACCCCCGGCCAAAGCTCACCCGGAAGTGTTGGTCGCGGTACTGGCTAAGCTCGGCGTACGAGTCGCTGCGGAGGATGCTCAGCGTCCCGCCGGAGCTCATGGCGGCGCTGCCCGGCCTGGCACAGCCCGGCCCGGTCTGCCCCGGCTCAGGACGGACCGAGGGCGCACCGGCACCTCCCGGCGCTGCCCGGACCGGCCGCCCCGCAGCTCCTTCCCGCCCCACGCGCACGCGCCCCGCGCGCGGGCCGCAGGGGGCGGAAGCAGTTCTCGCGAGAACGGTGGGGGACCCCAGGCGTTGAGGGAGCGACCGGCGCGGCGGGTCTCGCGAGAGTGGCGGTCATGTCGCTGCGGCGCGCGCTGCTGCTGCTGCTGTCGAGCCCGCGGCTCGTGGAGCGGCTCTCGGAGTCGCGGCCCATCCGCGCCGCCGCCCGCGCCGCCGCTGCCGCCATCACCCGCGGGCAGCAGCACCTGGGCCCGTGCTTGTTCCGCCTGCGCGACACCTTCCTCGGGGAGCTCAAGGACGGCGCCCGCCAGCGAGGCTGGCCGTGGCCGCGCGGACCGGGCCGCGGCGGCCGCCCTGGAGCAGCGCCCTGAGCAACGCGCCGAGTGGGGAGCGGCGGCACCAGAACACGGAGCGGGCTGGAGCCGGCGCGTGAGGAGCCCCGGTGGCTACTGCGGACCCCCGGGCGGCGGACGGCGAGCTGCAGACCCGACGGTGCGTCCCACATCGCATGGACACATGAAGCTATTGCTGCTCATCGGTGTGATGGGTTTTCATTTCAACGCCGTTTTACGTGTTCCACAGTTCACAGGAACAAGCAGACACTCACTAAGCATCATCCAGAATGCTGTCACGATTGTCAATTTAAGTGCTGCATAAGAAACTTGAAATAAAATCACGATTCCCATGGGAGTGGCTGTAACAGTGTCTGTCTATACAGCAGTAATACTCTACAACTGTTACATTTTGATACAAAAGGGGCTTTTAAATGTCGATGATGATGAATAAGATAATGCCCATCTTAGAGGAAGGTAAAAGAGATTCACTAGCTAGCCTAAAAGCGCACCTCAAGTCTGGTAGCAAGAAAGGTTTACAGGGAAAAAATGACCAGTAGAGCTGTCCTAAATATAAATATGGAAAAGGATGCATCCATCATACATCATGCACTGGGCTGGTTTGCTTAAGCAGTTAACCTTCCTTCAGAGCATGGTCTGGCTGACTTGAGGCTCAGTTAACTGTGAAGGATCATTTCCATTCCCTGTATCACCCCAGGTGACAAGAACCTTGTACATTACCTGAGATACAGTTTCCAGTATTTCTGGTAAAATTAAACCTCCCACCAACAAAGACTCAGGTGTGCATGGATGGAGAGATTGCATCTGTGATGTAAATTACAAAGGCCTGGCTGGTGAGACAAAAAGAGTGTATTGTCAATCTGAGTTATCCCTTGTACTTCAGGTTCAGTTCTGGCTCAGTCACAGGTTACCTGTGCAGCTATAGGGTAGTCATTGTGCCATGGAAATGGTGCTCCATTACATCCATGAAGAGTTTCATGATCTACCCTACTCAGATTGCCAGAGTTCATAAGTTCTGTGAAAGTAATTTTCAAGATTTAAGCTGTTTAAGAAAGCTGAAAACAGTAAGTACCAGCTGTGGCAGATGGCTGTCCTCCCCAAAATTAACGCGAAAAATGCACTTGGTGTCACAATACTTTCAAAACAATTTCCACTACTTTGTGAGTCATCAGTACATACATGCACCCCTTCTCCCCCTGCCTCCCCCCATACACCCACCTTTAATTACAGGCATGTCTGGAGAGTGATGGAGGTGGATGAACAAACGGGAGAAAATGCACAATGCTTTACAAGAGAGCAAGAGCTATGTTCCCTAAAAATCTAGGTCATACCTATAGTTTGGAAAATACAGGCAAATCCTTCACACATGCATTTTCCTAGCATCCCTTTAAAGCCTGGCATCAACTTATATTATCCTCATCTCTATTGAAAACCTGGCTCATAAGACCTTATGTAAAGCTCTGTGGGTGCAAAACTGCCAAAAGCATTACCACCTTTGCGAGCAGAAATAATTCAAATGTCAGATTCATTCCATAGAGAGAGGTTTGACCTACAATGCATGTGCCAAATTAGTATCTCCCTCCATGTGAAGATGTTTTGGATCCAGAAGTTCACGTAGGCAAAACCAAAGATTGTTAGTTGTGCTGTGCTATTATGCACACACATTGTTCTCAGCTGAAGCCCAGTTATTTGTATCCCAGTTTAAAATGAGCCTGCTCTCCAGTGGAGAGCCAGGATGTGATCTGTCATTCCCACTAAGCTGATTTAATGGGGAGCAGTTAAGCAAGGGGAGGGGGCGCAGGGGACGCGCTTCTCCCTCGGGTCCTCCCGCGCTCCCCAGCAGCAGAACTGGTCCATCTCTGACCTTGCCGTGAGCCTGTTCAGAGATCCATCTGCTCCAATGGCACAAAGGATCAAATCCCTCCGAGTTAACCGCTTTCTGCCTGCGCAGCTCCTCGATCCAGCTCCCCACAGGGCCCGCTGTGCGCTCTGCTGGAGTCACAGTCGTGACAGAACAGCGGCAGCTGCGAGAATGGCGCTGGGAACGTGCAAGGGCAGGAGTGCCCTGGCTGCAGCAGCAGAACACTGAGCGGCTTCAGTGCCATCACAGAAGAGTCTCCTCGAGCTCTGGGCGCAGTGCGTGTGGAACACGTTCACGAGGATGGAACTGTGGCAAGGAAGGTTAAACAGGCAAAGCTTGGATTTTAGGATTTAGCACAAGTACTTAGGCTGAAGCATCCTCCACGTCCTAAATCAGATTCTGTCAGATCAGTTCTGGGGATTTTTCAAGGCAGAACCACCCAAGTGGTTACACTGCTGGTGCCTGTACTGTGACTGCAGTTTGGTCTAATGAATTTTTAAGTACATAAAATAAAATCTTACTTAATCAGACCAGCTTCTGTCTAGCCTTGTAAGCTCTCTCCAACAGCTGAATTAATGCCTATTATAAGTAAACACCCCACAGTCTACAAACTCTGTCAGAGATTATAAAAACTTCCAAAAATAAATCTCACATGGAGACTGCTAAGCTTGAATCACAGTTTTAGTGGGCTCTGATTTTATCCTCTCCAATCAGGAAAATTACAGAAGTTCATATGAAACACTACAGGGCTAAATAACTCAAATTCTAAACAGATTCTATCCAGAACTGGCTATACTGGTAAGCATAAGAACATGACAAATAAAGAGACTCAGGAGAGCTCCCAGTGCCACTGCTTGTATTGAAGGTGGGCCTGTGAAAAGGAAGGTCTCACAGCACATTCAGACGATGTCCAAATGAAGTGAAAAACCAAAGTATCATTCTCCTAAAATCTGTGCTGATCTCTGTCTAGCTGAAGGATGTATAGTCCTAACTGACTTCTCCAATTTCCACTGGACAGGATGGACATTTGTGGTGGGTCTTCCATTGATAAGTGTGGAAATATCACAGTCTCGTTCTTGAAGGAGACACCACGTTTTGCAATTGTGGCTCTGACTGTACCAGGGATTATGACAAAAATGTGACAATCACTGCAGGTAAAATTGCTTGCTTGCTGCTCTACTGTCTGGCAGAGGGTTTCTTCTCCAGACCCAGCTATATCAATGACTTGTACGTGCATGTCTGTCTTCTTGATATTAAGCAGAAACCTCGGAGGCATGTAGGTGTGAGCAAAGAGTAGAGTATAGTGCCTTGGATGGTTTGAAGGTGCTGGAGAATGGATAAGCTGCTCCAAGTGAAACAAACAGGGTATCAGCCCTCCCTGGTGTAGGCACCCGAACAGGAATGCCCCGAGAAGATTGAAAATAATGATGAGGTGTTTCCACTTCACAGCTCCGTCCTGTGATGCACTGAACAGGACCAATGGCAAGATGAGGGGAATGAGGAACCGAGGCTCCTGGTGACTGAATAGGGAGAGAAATGCCAAAGGAACAAAATAAAACAGCAGTAATGTTGTATTGCCCTCGGAATGCACCAATAGCCCAGCAAGCCCACGGTAACATGATTTGACCCGTATTAGTTGATGGACGTATTTCTTTAACATTTTAAAACCAGCACCAATGGCCAGAACATGTAAGATCCCAAAGAGCATAATTCCATTGACTGTAAAATGTGTAACTCGTGGGTGACTTCCATGCAGTGCAAGATTATGGGGATTAAGATTATAGCTGAGAAAATTGAAGGGGGTTACTACCATTTTCTCATGTAATTGAGCTATTACATCAAATAGGCTGCCCTTGTTAATGCTGTAAAGGTTATCTAAGCTCACAGAGGTAAAATAAAAGGTGTCAGCTGTTATGAAAACAATGGCAGTGAAACATGCACATAGTATGAGCTTCAAAAAGTGGTTTATGACAGTTTTAATGCTCCTTTGAGAATCAACAATTAAACCTGCCCAGTAAAGCAGGGGCATTAGGGCAAATGCCAGAAAGGTTGGCCTGTTGAAAAACCCAGCAGTTGTTATAACACCTATGAGAGGGCTGCTTGTAGGCTCCACTGAGCTGCCATGGGACTTTCTTGAGGAAACCAGTACCATGAGAAGAGCAAAGAGAAGTCCTTCAAGCGTGTTGGTAAATGTTCTTGTATAAAACACCAGAGTGACATAGGATCCAGCAAGAAGTACCAGTGCTTTCCACAGATCTGCCTCCCAGAAAGGGGCTAATCGATATACACTATAGTCAAGTATGAAAGAAAAGATTGTAAAGAGAAGGCGAGGTGATACAAGGAGAGTGTAGCTGTTGATGCAACTTGAACATATGTCCAGCTGCTGCAAAGACTTGATTGCCCAGTAAGTAACTCCTGATGTCATTAACGGGAAAACAACGGTTCTGCAAGGAAAGCTTGAAAGGAACTCCCAAGGATAAAAGACTTGTAGATTTAAAATATCTCCTGTAAAGGAAGAGAAAAAGAAAAATACATACAATACATAATACATTTTATTCAATAATTCAGCAGTAGGGATACTACTTGCTGTAAGAGACATCACAGTGCAGAGCAGCTCCTAGACTTTTGAGACCTTGGTGTCAACCTTGACAGTTTTAGGAGTGTACCGTTCATTTTTGCAGAGAATCAAGAAAAAGCAGCCCGACGGGGTAATGCGGGTGCAGGCACCACTCGCTTTGGACAGCACAGAGCAGGAATCTACCGCCCACCCAGGTCTGCGGACCCGCTCCTGCCCGGCTTGCGGGAAGCGCCGTGTGACAGAGCGGGAGAACGAGCCGGCGGCTCCGGGGATCCCTCGGGAACACCCGCCCGTGCCCGGGGCTCTGCATCTCCCGCATCCGCGGGGCTGTGTGAGGCAGCGCGCCCCGGGGGTCCTCCCACCTTATCCACGCCCTTACCTGCCATGACCTCGGGCGCCTGGAAGAACTCGTCGGGGTGCAGGTACCCGCTCTGCGGCAGGAGACACCAGCCCGCCCTCAGCGCCGCCAGCAGCGCCCACAGCGCCCGCGCGCCCATGGCGGCCTCGCGCTGCCCCTCGCGCCGCCAGGGGGCGCCCGCCCGCCGGCACAGCCGCCGCAGCGGGAGCGCCACGCGCATGCGCAGCGCTCACCCCTCAGCCGCAGCACCGGCTGAAATCCAGGGAGTCGCAGGGCGGAGTGCGCTGGAAAAGAATCGGCCCCCCCACTCCCCCCCGAACGTGCTCAGTTGGAAGGGACCCAAAAGGATCATCGAGTCCAACTCTTAAATGAGTTGAACTCTTAAGGGAATGGCCCATATGGGGATCAAAGGCCCAACCTTGGTCTTGTCAGCACCATGCTCTGGCCAACTGAGCCATCTCAGGGCCACCTTGGAGACCCCTCACATCCAACCTGTGACCAAACACCACCACGTCAATGAGACCATGGCACTAAGTGCCACATCCAGTCTTTCCCCAAACACCTTCGGGGATGGTGACTCCACCACCACCCTAAGCAGTCTATTCCAATGTCAAATAACCTTTTCAGCGAAGAAATTCCTCCTAATGTCCAACCTAAACCTCCCCTGGCACAGCTTGAGGCCATGTCCTCTTGTCCTATCACTTGTGTGATAAATACAGGTTATAATTTGTGTCAAATGGATGGATGTAACCCAGGAGGGAAGGAAAACAAACGGATTGTAAAACTTAATTGCACCCCCATAAAGACATAAAACAGACCATCATCTTCCCTGTTCTCCTAGCCAAGAATTATGTCCGAACCAGATCAGGTCAAATAGCATGATGGCACCTTATTTTGAAGGACATATGAATTTATAACTTAACAGAGATAACCAATTAGTCTAAGCTGTGAAAATAAATATATGGTGAATACATAGACTAGCGATGTAAATGTGTATGCAGGTGATATAATGAATATGTATGGGATGTTTGAAATAAAAACGGGACTCGTACCCTGTATCAGGTGTGACAGACTCTAGAGATTTTCCTGTCTGTACACTCAGCGCTGTTTGTTTCTACCATATAATAAATTACAATTTGAAAATTAATTATATCTCAAGACTGTTTCTCACAAATTAGGGAGTATTTCGAGACTCTGATTCTCACAAAACTAATGCAGTTCCACCCATTTTGGGGCTCAGACTGACAATTCCAGCGCAGGGGTTCTGGCACCAAACAAATACATTTCCACCCAGGAAAGAAAGCCCTTATCTTCCATCACTCCTGTGCAATTGGTGAGCCACTCTTGGCACTCCATGCACACATAGAGATTCCTGTGCTGGCACCTTTGATCTTGGAGGAATCTTCATTCTCATTCCATTTGGGGTCTCAGACTGAGCATTCCAGTGCAGAGGTTCTGACAGCAAACAAATGCATTTCCACCCAGGAAAAAAAGCCCTTACCCTCCATCTCTCCTGTGCAATTGGTGAGCCACTCTTGGCACTCCATGCACACATGGAGCTGCCTGTGCTGGCACCTTTTGTCTGGGAGGAATCTTTGTTCTTACTCCATTTTGGGACTCAGACTGACAATTCCAGCGCAGGGGTTCTGACAGCAAACAAATGCATTTCCACCAGAAGAGAAAGCCTTTACCCCCTCTGTCCCTTTTTCCCTTTTCCGTTCCCTTCCTTTTTCCCTTTTGGGGGTTCCCTGTGAATGGTACCTTGACTGTGTATAATTCTGGGAGTATATATGAATTTATATTACTTAGAGTTTGGTTGGTTTGGGTTCTTTTAGTTTTGTGTAGTCTTTTCGGTCTGTCCGAGGAGGGAGAGAGGGAGGGGGGAGGTTTTTCCCCTATGGTCTGGGAACTTGGCTGGGAGCCAAGTCCAACCTAAGACAAACCTAAAATCCCAGAAATGTGGGAGAAGGGGATGGGGAGGCGCAGGAATTAGGAGGAGCCAAAGGTTCTCAGTCTTTTTGTCCTGCCAGCTCCTGATCTGTATCAGGGCCACTGGGAGGGAGTCGAAACCCAAAGAAACACCAAATCCTACTGAGGGACTTGTACAAAGGAACAAAGCCATTATTGCCATCAACAGCTTCAAAACCTGTTCAAAATTCTAGGACAGCAATACTGGGATTCACAGGAATCTTTTTAGTGCTCTTGGATCCTTTATGATGCTTTGGTATCTTTAGTCCTCAAGAAGCAGCTTGGAGAACTTACCCTGGGATTTAGAGGCCAAGCAGGGCTTGCTTTGGATTGCCTTGCCCCTCTGGCCCCAGCTGGTACAAACACAACTTGGGCCAATGGGGTTAAATACACTTTCCTACCAAAACAGTTGCTGTATCTCCTAGAAATTACCCCAAGTTTTCAGATAAAAATGTCACCTCTGTCCCCACTGAGTCACCCCAGGTTTTGCCAGTTGGGAGCTGCAAGGAGGCTGTAAATTCAAAGGCAAAATGAGATCTATCAGCAAAAGGCAGAAAGAAGGGGACAGGTTTCAGAAAACATTTCTGCAATATCATTAATAACTATTTCCAGTTTCCCAGTGAGAAGAACATGAATGCACTGCCACCAAGGCCTGACAGTCCCTGCAGCCAGAGCTCAGCACACATCCAGAGAGGTGATTCCATCATCTAAAAGAAAAAAAAAGAAGAGATAATTTTTAAAGTCATTTCAGGCTCTTCCAAGCAAAGAAAGACTTGCTCTGGTTTCAGGTGGGTGCACAGTGAGCGGTGGGCACAGGGCAGGTCATGGGGATGGTGCTTTCTGGAGGAAGAGCAGCTGACCGATGGCCCAAGTCCAGTTGCTGCCCAGGACTGATTTGCACAGGACAAACCCTCTGGCAGGAAGGGGTTTTGTTCCCTGTAATGGTCTTTGCCCCGTGTGTCCCTGTGGCCAGGGCCAGGCTGGGGACAGGCACAGGCAGCTGTCAGCACTCTCTGCTCCAAAGACAATTCTGGGCCAACTGCC